CCTGAGGCCGAGTCCCACATACAGCAACTAGAAGGATGTGCAGCTATGACATACAACTATCTACTGGGGCTTTGGGGGGAAAAAATAAATAAATAAAAAAAATCTTTAAAAAAAAAAAACAAAAACAAAAAAAACAAACAAAAACAGAAAGCAAACATAAATTGAAGTAGAGTAATAGCGATAAGAAGAAGAATCTAGAAAGAAGGTTGGGACGGAGAAAGGCATGCTATCGGCTGCCTGTGCAACACTTACACCGAAAGGTCAGGGGCAGTTAATGTCACCAGTGCGCCCTCTAGTGGGCATAGATGGAAAAAACCACTTAATTTGTTCAACGTGTATTTATTAGGCACCCGTTTGGATGGAGGGTGGGAAAGACATGCTCTGAGATTCTGTGTGTCAGCAGGTCCCCGGTCATTTCTTGACACCACAAGAACTCCCAACCTTCCTCTGATTGGATTAAACGTCATGAGGCAGGTAAGGGTGGGATGAGGGGGAAAGCATGGGCCCTGCAGTCTTCAGCTCTGGCCTTGCCTCTCAGCTTGGTCCATTGTTGCCTCCTGAAGTTGGAAAAGTTCCTTAGCTTCTCAGGGCCTCAGTGTGCTCATCTGTAAAGTGGGAGTTCCATAGTGCCCACCTCTTGGGAATAGTGAGGGTTAAATGAAGTGATGGGTGTCAAGGGCATACAATGGTGCTTGGCACATGTTGGGTACAGAGTTCTCAGGAAGGAGAAACTGAGGCCCAAAGAGGTGGACAGGCCTGTCCGTCATCAGCCAGCTCAATAGGGCAGGGTAGAAAATGAATAGGACTTGGAGAAAAGTTTAAAAACTTCCTCCTCCAATCAGGAGGTGACATTACTGTTAGTAATGGTATATCTGTTGGGACAAGTCTGTTCTCTCTCCAAGTGGACTTGGCCATCACTGGCTCTGCTCCATCCTGGAGCAAAGAGCTCCTCCTGGGCCAGGGGCTCAGAGGTCTGAGGCAGGCCACACATGCCCCAGGTGGGACTTTTCTAGACAGTGTTGGACAGTGAGTGTGACTCAGGCAGTGTGGCCAGCTGGGTTGGAGATGGGGGTAGAGAGGGAAGCCCCCTGAAAGCCCCCCTTCCCTGCTTCCATCTCCCACCTCTGCAAGCTGTAATTATTCAGCCTTTGGCATTGAGTTGTGCCTCTTCTTATTAGTATTATATTTTTAGCTCTTCTGCCAGGCTGAGCTGTGAGAGAGGAGGCCAAGGCCTACAGGGAAGTGAGGAAAATCAGCTCTGCCCACTGGCCTAAGTTTTCTCATCTTTACTTGGGGACAGTCACAGAACCCCAAATTGTTGAGAGAGTTCAGTGAGTTAATATGGGGAAGAGCCTAGCACAGTGACTCTTCATGGTAACTATTAGTAGTAGTAATATCATCCTTCACAGTTCCTGCTGGATGTCACCTCCTCCAGGAAGCCATCCCTGACTTTCCCAGGATGAGTTTGGTGCCCAAGTCTCCTGCACATCCCTGGTCCTTCTGGGCTGTGTTATAATTGCCCCTTTAATTGTTCCTCTCCCAAGGAGAGGTTGTGCCACATCTTGTTCACTGTTGTATCTCCAATATGGCTGGCTCAGGTAAGAGGCACAGACATATTTTAGGTGAATGAGTGGGACTTATGAGAGCACGTATGCTGTGGCTCTGGGACCAGACCATCAGCTTTGCCACTCGGACATTGTTTGACTTCAGCTCTTGGAGTTGCAGCTCCCCTCCACTCCCCAAATAAAATGGGGCTGATGTGAGGAGCAAATGAGACCCCCTGTGCACCACCTAGCACACTACAGGTGCTCCATAAACATCCATTGCTGTTCTGCAATTTCATATTAAATGCCCCCCACTTGTCCACACCTCCCCTGCTCCCTCCAACCCCAGGGGGAGCTTCAGTGCCTGCTCTGGACTCCCATAGTCCCCAATACCTCCCCTATCACAGCACCAACCACATTTGTGCCTGCTGCTCTGTCACCCTCCCTGGACAAACTGATGGTTCAGCAAGGGCAGGGCCTTTGCCTCACCTGTGTGACTATCCAACACCCAGCCCAGGGTCTGGTTCAGAGCAGGGGCTTGGGAAATGCTTTCTGAAGGACCCAGACGTCTGGCTCCCTTGCCTTCCTGTCTCTGCACTGACCTCTCTGGTTTGCCCTTTCTTTCCATCTCAGCCTCTGCAACTCTGTCCTCACTGGGCAAGGCCTAGCACAAATGCCACCTTCCCCAGAACATCCTTCTTGAGCAAACTGATGCTGTGACTTCTGTCTCCTTGGAACTCTTAAAGCTCTGACTGCTTTTACCACCAACTTGCCACTTTCACATAAGCTCTCCAGCTTGGTACCTTTAGGTTTGCTGGTTTGTTTTGTTAGATAATCCTTCTCTTTCCATGTTACATTCCCAGTGAAATCTTGTTTTTCATTGAGGCTGATGGCATTTGCCAACATTGATCATTAGGGAAAGGTGGTTCCTCCAGACAGCTGTGCATAGCATGTGGAACATGACGCATGCATACAAAATCACTCTATTTGTTTTCTGCCTACTTCAGAAAAGGATTTAAAAATGGAATAAGGTCTGTAAATTTAGTTAATGGTATTATACCAATGCCGATTTCCTGGTTTTGATGTTGTACTACTAGTATATAAAATGTCACTATTGAAGGAAACTGGGTGAAGGCACCCTATGTATTATTTTTGCAATTTCCTGTAAGTCTATAATGATTTAAAAATAAAACCTTTTATAAAAAGGATTTGAGGCAGGTTAAACATATAAAAACTACATTGAATATTAAAACAATAATATCGAGATTAGACAGGACATACAGACTTGGCTTTGCAAGCTTATTTATTAATAAGTTTTATAATATTATAAGATTGGTAGCAACCTAAGTGTACAACTGTAGGGATTGTTTTTGAGAACAGTGATACCATCCATACAGTGGAATACCATGCAGGTATTGGAAAGCACCAAACAGAAATGTATTTATTGTTTTGGGAAAGCTTTACCAACATCTTAGTGAGTTAAAAATACTGAATGATATGTCAAGTCCTGAAGGATATTCACCAAAATATTAAAAATGATTGTCTCGGGGCGGTGGGATTGCAGATGATTTTTTATCTTCTTTTTGCTTGCTAGTATATTGCCATTCCTCTACAATGCAAATATTATTTTCCTAGTAAAACATTTTTAAAGAGTAGCAATAAAATAATGTTTTACGGGGGATGATCAAAAATTATCTAGAAGGAGAAGAAAGTTAATAGTACCAGAGCCGGGAGTGAGATGGCTATTGCACTTGAAGTCGTGGCAGACCCAGCAAAAGGAGAAATGGGATATTGTGAAGTTCTTGGAGAGTGCGATGTTTTCACCTCTAGCGTGGAATACCCAAAGGGCTGCACTGAAGGGCAGGGAGCGCTAGACTAGATTTACAGCTCTAGTTTTGACTCTTCCATTCATACGGTAAGTGATCTTGAGCAAAATCCTGCCCCTCTCAGAGCCTCAGTTTTCCCGTCTATAACAGAAGGGAGATGGACCTCAGAGTCTCCACGACCTTTTCCATCTCCATCACGCGAAATTACTTAGCGGTGAGGGGGCTAATTTGCCTAACCACGCTGCGGGAGACAGCGGCGGAGCAGCGCCGCGGCCGGCGAGAGGTTAATCCGGTCGGCCCCGCCCCGCGGGCACCACCCCCACGCCCGGGTCGCACCCTTGACCCCGCCCCCAGGCCGTGCGTCCACCGGAAGTGCCCGCGCGCGGGCAGCTCACTTCCGCCCGGCAGGTGACAGCCGCGGGGCTCGAGCGGCCGGCCGCACGGGCGCACCGGGAGAGCAGGGGGAGGAGGCCGCGGACATTTTCCTGCCGAGCCGCGCCGCGCTGTGGCGCCGGGAGCCGTGCGGACCTGCGGGTGAGGAGGCGGGGAGTTCGACGAGGCTGGAGGAGAAGTGGGGCGGGGAGGCGGGGGTCTGAGGTGAGGGCGTTGCGGGGTCAGAGGTCACGGAGAGGACGTGGGGCTGGAGGGGCGAGAGAGGCTTCCCGGGCCCCGACGAGGCGGAAGGACTGCGGGTTCATTCATTCGCACCCGCTTGGCCGCTGCCCGCAGCCCAGCCGCCCCAGGTCCGCAGCCCCACCTGGGGCGCCCTCCCGGAGAGACGGCTAGACTTAGGCCCCGCGGAGCCCGCCCCTGGCCGCAGGGGAAGCTCCTCTTCGGTCCCGGTTTTCCCCTTCACACTTATCCCCTGGGGCCTCTTCGTTCCGGCCTTATCTCTCTGCCACGGTTCGAAAAGGAAAAAAAACTGCAAGAAACAGCCCTACGCCGCCTGCTCCGGGGCACGCTGGGGCTTGGTCTGTCCGTTGGCGCCCCACGGACGAGTTAGCTGGGGACACCTGTAATAATGCTAAAAACACCGACGAAAATGCCAGCTGCTGCGTGTTGAGCTCCTACTGTGTACCAGGCGCTGTGCTAAGCGCTTTAGTACAGTGCCACGTTTAAACTTCACAGCAGCCCTTGTGAGGTAGCTACGGTTGTTATCCCCATTTTATCCACGGGGAAACTGTGGCACAGGGAGGTTAAATCACACGTATAAGGTCAATCAGGTAGTATAGACAAGAACCAGGGTTTCTACCCCGGCTTGCAGAGACCAGCAAAGTGCAGAGACAGCAGAGAGGCTGGAGCAAGGTTGGGATGAAGGGGCTATATAATATCTTTAGCCATTATGTGTATTTGCATCTATGTAAAGATGTAGGCTTATTGCTTCTCGTCTAGTCTTCATAAGGGGTATTTGACTCACTTTCTTTAGGATGAAACAATCCTGCAGGCTGTTGGTGTAAGTGATTACGTTTCAGGACAAGCGTGGAAGTTTTTCCTGACTATTGGGAACTGTGAGACACAAAGCAGGCTATCCATGAAGCTAGTTTGAGAGTATCTAGAACCTCTCTTGAGAGTAGTTGAGCTGCATTCCTTTTGGATTGAAGAGAAGAACCACATGACCTCTAGGGGCTCTTGTAGCCCTAGGTTCTTGAAGGACGTTCTCAAGGGAAGGGTCTGTGTCTCTCTGAGAAAAGTGCAGGCCCCATGGCTTCTTGGCTAGGGAAAGCACATCTTGCCTGGGAGGTGGTGAGGTGGTTTGATGGCCGGAGGGCTAGGTTCTGTGAGTCTGAGCCTTATTCCTTTGCAGACATTCACTAGCTCCAGTTCTGCCTCAGTTTCCCTGAGAGCAGCACAAGGGAGACCTGCTGCCTTCCTACCCACTCTTGGGTGTTGTAAGCCTTAATGAACTCGTGAAGGTTTCCACGTGCTTCTGAAGAAAGCTGTGATGTAAATATTACTGTAGTGCCTTTTTTTTTTTAACTCTATGATCTGTTCTCCTAGTTCCATTGAATTCACAGAACCTTAATATTGTCACCTTATCCCCATCCTTCCAAGGGAGGATTTGAGATGAAGCTACTTGTCACAAATGGTAGGAACGTGAGCAGAGCTCAGAGCATCTGGCTCCCTGTCCTGAGTTGAGCCCACCAGGCTCCTCCGACCTCTTAAAAACTGACGTGAAGAGCAGCTTCACTAGTTTCAAAGAATCAGATCCCTCAGAAGTTGTGTAGAGATTATCTGTTGAGTGTGGGTTGAGCAGAGGCTTCTCCCTGAGCAACCTGAAGAGCTCAGAGGTACACGCAAAAGATTCCCTTTCTCCCCCTCGCTCAGCCCTGGGTTCTGATCCCAGCTCAGCAGCTTCGTGATAGTGGGACCCAGACAACTTACTTAGACTGGGCCTCTACTTCAGCTCTAAAATAATGATCACCACCTTCCCCCTCTCCTCCCAACACTGGTGCGTGTGGGGGTTAGATGAGGAAGTTTGTGCAGAGCCTGTTAATGTTGCGGTGGGAGCCTTGATCGTAGGCAGTTGATGCCTGCTGAGGGTCTATGTCTGAGGAAGGCTGTCTACCCTGGTTTGTGGGGTGTTACTTCCTTCCGCAGACAGAGACCTTTGTGTACACAGGACTTCTCCCACCCTTCTCGTTTCACTTCCTAAAAGTTTGTCAGAACAAGTTCAGTCCATTGGTCCTGCTGGCTTTCGGCTTGGACTTTCATCTTTTTCTAGTCATCCTCTGAAACTGTTGCGTATCTTGACTGCTCACTTCCCAGAAAACCCGCATGCCTGGCACCAAAGCCTGATGTGCTGACACTGAGCAAACATGGCTTGGGTATGGGTTTTGCACTTTGGTGTATTTCTGAAAGCTGAGGGAACATCTATAACTTGAAGATGTTTCTTTTTCTGCACAAGTCTTTTTGTCTAAGATAGGTTACTTATAAATTATTACAGCCCAGAAATGGTTTTTGTGTTCTTTTTCTCTTCACACGGAGAGAAACATATAACTCCAGAGAGAAAATACCACTTGAGCAGTTGGAGAATCCTTAAAAAAAAAGTTCTGCTTGAATATCCATCAGTGGCTCCTCGTTGCCCTCAAGCTAAAACTCACATTCCTTAGCATGGCATTCAAGGCCTTTTGGGCTCTGACCCCTGCCTGGCTCTTCCGGAAGCCTTATCTCTCCTGCTCCACACTTCTACCTCCTCCCAAGCTCCAAGCAAACTCAGCTGCTTTTCTACAAAGTCCTAACTCGTTATGCCTCTGTGTCTTTGCTTTGTGCTGTTCTCACTGCCTGAACACCATTTCGTGTCACATACACACCCCCCCACACCCTTCTTTGCTGGACCACTACTTGGTGCCTCCCATCCGATCATCCCCTCCACCTTGCAGGCCTGAGCTAGATGCCCCTCCTTGACGTCCTGTGGCACTGATCATAATGGGTTATCATTGTCTGTTTACTTGGCTGTCTTCTAAGTAAACAAACGGTTCTTAATCCTTGGAGAGGGCTTGTCATAACTGTCTGTGTCTCCAGCACCTGGTGAAATGTCTGGCACATAGTAGGTGCTCAGTAAATGCTCAGTGAATGAATGAATGAATATTGCATTGAATTGTCAGGGATCCTTGACTCCTGAGGAATTCAAAGCACTTTCCAGGTGATCTCCTGCGCATCCTCATGTCACCACAGGGGGGTAGGGAGAAATCTAACCAGTGGTGGGATTAACTACTCTTGAACTGTTGTTGCTGCCACCCAGCCAGCCACCAGAGTGCCTCAGGGCCTCCAGAGATCTGGGGGTTGGGAAGCAGCAGGGAGGTGCTGGTGGTAACCACTCTCCCTGTGTAGTAGTAACAGTGGCTAACGTTTATCAAGCACTTGGTGGTCTGGGCAGTGCTAAGGGCTTTGTATGTATTGACTTGTTTTAGCCTCACAAACCAGTCAGGTATATAATGTGTAATTCTCATTTTACAGTTGTCGTATGGTTGTGCCTGTTAGTTGTATAGACTCCAGGAGAGCCTCTGTGGCCACCTTTCCTTTCCCAACCCTTTGTTCTTAGATTGTCTCCTGTTATTTAATGGAGTTCAGGAGAGGCTTGGCTGTGGGTCCAGATGCCTAAGTCTCATGCTTTTTGGGTCTTTCAGCTTGGGCCTGACTTCTGACCTCCATCAAGAGGGTCTCCCTGAAGCTAGGAGGCCTCTTCTAGTTAAGATTGACTCCATAATGCCCCAAGTTGATCATCAGCGGGATGCATTAGTCACTGATCACCCAGGTTACCATCTCTGTGGATCCTGAGCGGGAAGATGGTAGATTTGGAAGTCAGATCTCAAAACTTTTAAAACCAACCCTTCAGTGTTCACGTTTAGCACTGAAAACTTTCCTTACAGCTGAGCTCTCTAGAGGAATAGACTTGAGTGGCACATACTTTTTACTACACCCTAATTGTTTTTAGGGTCTTAAGCATATTGAGAGTGAAATGTCAAAATTTCATTTTAGCCAGCTGTTGAGTCTACTTCTGTGGTCTTCATTCTCTGATCTCTAAGGGGTGGGTGGCTGGATGTTGAGACGCTGAGGACAGAGACTTCCTAAGTCCAGCATTCATTCATTCAGTCTTTATTCAGCCCTGTTTTGTGCCTGCCACTGGGCTGAGTGATGATAGGTAAACGAGCCAGACATAGTTTCTGCCCTTGGGTTGCCTACTACATTCTAATGGGAGAGAGAGACGAAGAAATAGAAAACAAATGTAATGATAAGAAAAACTGATAAGCTATGAGAGAAGCAAGCATCGCAGCCAGAGCCTGTTAAAATGTAAGTCAGATCTCAGGACTCCTGCGTCAGTGGCCCCCAGCTTGCTCAGAGGGAAAGTCAGAGTCCTTACCTTGATCTGTCAGGCCCCTTCCATTCTCCTCTGACCTCACAACCCACTGTCCTCTCGCTGCTCACTCCGCTCAAGCCACTTCACCTCTCTGCTGTTCCTCAAACAGGCCAGGCACACTCTCACCTTTTCACTGTTTCTTACGCCTAGAAGGCTCTTCCCCAGACAATGTCACCTGTCACCTGCTCAAGGAGGCCTTCTGTGGCCACCCTGGTTAAATTTCAACCTCCCAAAACCCTCCGCCCTGCTCTGTGTCGTCCTTCCCTGCTCTCTTTTTCTCCACAGCATTTATCACTATCTGAGATACTATATATTTTACTTATTGATCTTGCTTATGGTCTCTGTGCCTCATTAGGATGTGAGCTCCATAAAGGGAAGCATTTTTGTCTGTTTCATTCACTCCTGCATCCCCAGCATGTGGATCTGTTTCTGGCGTGTGGGAATATATGAGTAAGTATATGAGTAAGAATTCTAGGGGTTAGGGACAGAAAATACCTACTTGAGATAGTGCATGCAGGGAAGGTATCTTTGAAGTGATGTCATCTAAGCTGAGATTTGAAGGATAAATTGGAGCAGCCACTATAGAAGCTGGTGAGGATAATCCAGGGAGAAGGATCAGCAAGTACAAAGGCAGTGAAGAGCCTCACAATTAGAGGAAAACAGAGGGCGGCCTGGG